TGAATATTGTCTCCCAGACATTCCAAATGGACTAAAACCATCAGTGCATAATCCAAGATACACATTCCGGCTATTGCTAGCGAAATGTGGATGTACATTGTTAAAATGTTTCCAGGCTCTTGCATCTGATGGATGAGTCATCTCTCCATCCGTCTGAGTATGCTCGGCGTGCCATCTCATCCCTCCAGCAGTCTCCTCATATTGGTACAATCTTTTCAATCTGTCTGTGATTGGTAGGTACCGCATCCTTTGGTACGGTACCCTATTGCGCACTCGACCTTGCGGTTTGAATCGTGGCTTCTTACAAAATCGACATTCTTCTAACTTCTCATCATCTCCCCAGTATATCATGCAGTTGTCGATGCAAACGTCTATCATCTCCGAGGGCAACCCAAGACTATATACCAATTTCTGAATCTGATAATAAGATTCAGCAGACACATTGTCTTCTGGCAAATACTCTTTAAACAAGTCTGCCCATGCATCCATACAATTTTCAGGTAGACTGTGATCGGTTTTAATACTCATCATTCTAGCAGCCAACGACAATTTAGACAGACCTTCTCTACAACCACTGTAAATTGGCTCATTTGCAGCTTCTAACATTTCGTAAAACTTTTTTGCATCTAAGTTAGGTTCTTCAACTTCATCATCATCATGAGTTACAAATGCATCACGTACCATATCATGAACCCTATCATAATCTACCATTTGTTCCTCTTGGTGATGATCATAGCTATAACTACTGTTACCTTCATTACGCAAATGATCAACCGGTTCAACCTGATTACTACTGCTACCTTCATTCCTACAACTAGCATCTTCTCCATGTTGATACTAAATATAATAATATGGCATGAAACCTCTATTTATTAAATGCTTCCAAACATTTTCACGAGGGCCTAATTTGCTATTGCAGCATTTCCGACAAGAACAGAACATCTTACCACTTTCCTGCGTGAGTGGTGTAGAATCTGCTTGATGCATAAACGTCTCCAACCCTTCCAGAAATTCGTTCGTCACCCTCCCATTATTATCTCTGTGTAAATACATCCACTGCCGCAACTCGAAAATATTTCCCGGACCGGACTTTTTTTGTGTTTGATCAAGCTTATAGCTGATTTTTTTTGGTGTGTTTCAAATGAATCACATAAGGTGGTATTTATAGAAATTTTCGAATCTGAGCATTTACTAGGAAATTGCTAGGAAAAGTAGGTACAAAACACGTTTTTTATTTAAATTCGATATTTCTTATCCAGTTCCTCCTAATTTCGTAGTAATAAACAGTTTCCTCCTAATTTCGTAGTAATATTTTACCTTTACGAGGAAAGTCTTTACTACGGCTTTACGAGGAAAAGTACTTTTTCCTCGTAAGATCCTCGTAAAATTACTAAGGTCTTACGAGGAAAGTATTTTCTCGTAATTTTTCGAGGATCTTACGAGGAAATTTGCTTTCCTCGTAAACTCGAAGTAAGGCCTTAGTAATTTTACGAGGAAGATTTTTCCTAGTAAAATTTCCTAGTAAAGGCTTAGTTTTCTTGTAGTGCAACCAAAGTACATGACAACTCAGAGCTAAGGAAATCTGAGATAATGGATGTGTGGTGCCACAATCCGTCTTGGCCCCGGAACCGGAACCGTCATGTTACCTATTATTACTTCTAATGCTCTCAGACGTGGAGATTTGCCGAGATCAAGAACCTCTAGTTCACGGCAGTGATACAATGTTAACTTTTCAACAACCGGACAACCGGATAGAATCTTGGCCATGGATTCATCAGAGAATCTACAACAAGTCAACGATAACTTCTGCAAGGATGTCCAGGACACAGTGCACTCGGAAACAATTGAATGGTAACGGATTAACGTAATGTTGAGTTGCTTAATAGAAGAGCTGCTATAGAAAAAATCAGGAAAATTGAACTGATAATAATGACTTGAGATATCAAGGGACAGATTGAATAACCAAATTATAAGGGATGTTATATTTATTTCTAATGAAATGTAAATAGGTTCAAACTTAAATGACAACATATTTAAGTAGATAAGAATATGACTCTAATTTAATAGATTAGACTAGATTTTGATCCGTGCTTTCAAAGCGCGGGTTTATGTTTGATGCAAACTTTATATAATCGCATTTCCTATACATGTAGAAATGTGGGATAAACTTGTTTAGTCCTTTAATTGCATCAAACATAGTTTTTAAAAATGCAGGATAATCTTTCGGTGAAAATTTTATTTGACCGCATTTTTGTTTTATATAAAGTAGACATGTGCATAAAATCCATAACTCGACGTCTAAACTCAATCTAAAAAAAAAAAAATTGGACCCGTAACCGGTCAAAAAGCTAAAATATATCAGAATGAGTTTTGTAGGGTGGTACAAAATATATCCAAATCAAAGTGTTATTAGCCAAATCCGAACGAATAACCAAAAAAACGAAAAATCCTGAAAAAAATTCTGAATCGATCTGAATGTCCAAATTAATCATAAATATAAATATTTGAAACATAAATATCTAGTTTAAATATTCAGTTCTATATTTATTTTAAAATGATACTTAAAATTAATTATCTAAATTTTAAATATGTATTTTAATATCCAATTCTATAAAAATAAGTATCTAAACCAATATATCCCGAATCCGAACGATATATGGTTATTTTATCGGTTATAGGATGTGTACAAATTAAAACCAAACCCGACGTGTTATATTTGAATCTGATCCATACTTACAAACATGCCTACTTACAAATTATGACAGCCATGATGTGATATAAATTAGCTTTGATTCAAAATATCCGACTCATATTTCAATAGGTACTTGAACTCCCAAGCATAACTTAAACTTTGTTTTATATTTGTTAAATTAATTTTATTTTTGTAAATATTTTTTATGTTTATTGGAACAACCCGTAAAATTATAATCATAAAATATCAATAATAACATGTTTCATCATATAATTGAATATTAAAAGTAGCTATTATTAATATTTATTTTACAAAATATTATATATATAAATGATTTTAATACTTTATCTATGATAATTATATTTTTATGTATTGGCGGAGGTTTGAAGAATTTGTTTTTTATTATTTTGTATATCAGTTACATATAATTAAATATTATATTTTTTATATCCTAATGTTTTAATTTAGATATGTATATTAAAATATAAAATTATTTCTTTTTTAAGTATCTTATGGTAGTATTTTGTTATTCTGTAAAAGTAATTCATTTAGTTTATAATTTATAAAGTAGATTAATTTATATTATAATTATAATTTTGTGTAATTTTTAGTTACAAATATGAAATATTTATATGTAAATTTTATAAAAGGTTATTTCGTATTCTATAAATCAAAATGAGTTGATATTCATTTGTAATTTAATTTTATATTATTTTACATTTTTATTATTAAAATTATATTAAAACAATAAATAATTATTTTTATAATAAAAATATATTAAAGATTTTGTTAAATGAATCTGAAAAAGTAGTTAAGAGTATCTTTTTGATATCTTTTTTTGAATATATTGAAATATTATATTAATATTATGTGTTTATTTAATAATAACTAAGTTTGTTGTATGTAACATATCATAAAGTTAAATAAATGTAATGTTTTGAGGTAGACTACTTGCAAGTAGATAAAAAGTGTTTCTGTTTTAAAAATATTGATTTGACAAATAGCATGTTTTATTATCATCATTTTTATCTATTATTTTCTTATTAACATACGTATTTCCTTCTTTTTTTAACCAATATTTATTTCCTGAACAATAAGAATATTATAATCAAAAATCTATTTCTCTAGAAATAACAGACTGAGTCTTTGAAAACAACTGTGGAAGTAACAATTTTAATCCCTGGCATAATATCTTTGATATGATCTTATAAACCACATTGTATAAACTGGTTGGTTGTAAATTATTTCGTACACTTTGATCTCACTGTTTTCAGAATGAGGCAAATGTTTATATTTACCCTCTCATAAAAAAACTCTTGTCCTAAGAAACTCATTTATTATGTTAATGACATTTGCTTTGATAATAGATCACAATTGTTGAAAAAGTATTGCAGTCATACCATTGATTATTCATCATCCATGAGCAGGGGAGTACCCTCTAATTTGGTGGATGATGGGGGAAATGAAAACTGGTCATGCATCACTCTTTTAAAACCGGTGGATGGAAGGTGGATTGATCAATAGATAAAGACTGACTCTCTCAGTCGTTGGGTTGATCGATTCTCTCAATCTGGTGGGTTGATCTTTAGAAAACATTACTTGACCTTTGTTTAATTAAAGTTTTCAACCGTAGTTAATAATGGCTAATTAAATCTATTTTAAGATATGTTAAGTCTGTTTAATAATATGTTCCATTCGATTCAATCAACACAAATTCATGATTTAAAATTAAAGTAAGAAACACAAAACTTGCTTAATAGTTTTATTCAATAGATTTTTTCTTTACTATGCGAGATATTCGTTACACTAAGTAACTAATAAGCTTGTTTCTGTCAGAAAGTTCCAAACTTCATGGTAGTGTCAGGCAATTATGCATGTAGTTTGGTAGTGAAGAAGTCGGTGATTTTCACTCTTATAAACAGGAGTAGACAATAGTAAGAAGAAAACAGAAATCAACAACTAAGTTTGAAAATCTCGAAACCATATATGTGGAGAGGAAAAAACTCATGAATTGTCTGGATGGTATAACTTGTGAAAAGAGGATATAGTCAAGCTCTCAATATTTTTGGAGATTTTCAAGTGAAGACCGTTATGTAGTTTGGTAGTGAAGTCGATGATTTTCACTCTTTTCCAACAGGAGTAGAGCCAATTGCTTCCATGACCAACTTCAAAATAACTGAGTTATTGTGTAAGTTTTGTATATCTTTCCGTATTGTTAATTGATCAAAGTTTGATTCCATGCTTAGAGTACAAATTCAATCGCAAGTAATAAAGTACAAAGTACACAAGTTATATATAAAAAGAAAAAAGAAAAATAAATGTTCAATGACACTGAAAGACTTTAACCCCTAATGATTCACCGCTCCGTTGGTGGAAGAGAGCAGCACGATGGTGACATTGTTGTGGTGAGAAAGTGTTGCAATCAGGTCTTCAGTTCTAAACTCAAGGTAACGTTCATCCAACAATACGACCATCTTGTCTAGTTTCTCTTTGCTCTTAAGCACAAGTTCAACTAATGAAGCCACATGCTCTAATTTCAAATCCTCACAACACTTGTTCCAAGAGGCTCCATCTTTTGATCTCCAGCCTTTGTTCACGTTATAGTCTTGTAATTTTAAGCATCTGTCAAGAAACTCCACCTGTATAATAGAAAATAGAAAATCAATTAATAGATATATTCGAACTCAATGATGGCTGGAAAAAAGAGATGTTAATTAACGGTGAATATATATACCGGCTTGGGGAAGCGAGCCCTTCTACTACCTACTGTTAGCTTCTCTAATTCAGGTGAGTTTTGTAATAGTCTTTCTATGCCAGGAATAACATACTGACTGATCTTCGTATCAAGAGTCAATGTTTTGACCTTGAGCACCGGGAAAGGAACACCACGAAGCTCAGCCAGAGATAAAATCTGATAGAATGAACAATATATGAATTCAAAAGTTATTAGAACTGTGTTTCAAAAAAAAAAAAAAGTTATTAGAACTATATAAATTGTGCAACCAACTGAATTTTAGGCATTAATTAGAGAATGCAATAATTAATATGAGCCCAAAAACATATATATACCTGAGTGAAGCTACTCCCAAGCTTAAGCTTCTCTGCCTTCTTTAACGTATCTAGCATCTTTAACCCCATGACTTGCATCAAATTAGCACTGAAGGCAGATTTAAATGAGACACAAGAAATTTCCATCCTAGCTTCGGTTAAAGAAGAGACATCAACCAAAGTACATGATAAATGAGCGTCATACAATCTAAGATAATGGATGTGTGGTGCCACAATCTGTCTTGGCCCCCGAACTGTCTTGCCATTTATTATAACTTCTAATGCTCTCAGACGTGGAGATTTGCTGAGATCAAGAACATTTAGTGTACCGCAGTGATACAGCTTTAACTTTTCAAGAACCGGACAACCGGATAGAATCTTAGCCATGGATTCATCAGAGAGTCTACACAATCTCAAGGATAACTTCTGCAAGGAAGTCCAAGACACAGTGCACTCGGGTACAACCGAATGGCGACAGCTTAACGTAATGCTGAGTTGCTTGAAAGAAGAATTGCTGTAGAAGAAATCAGGAAACTTGTATTCATAATTATAATTATTATACGTACAAGGGAAATTCAAGGACAGATTCTCAAGGATCGGACAACCGGACAGAATCTTGGCCATGGATTCATCAGAGAGACTACGACAAGTCAATGATAACTTGTGCAAGGATGTCCAAGACACAGTGCACTCGGGAGCAATCGTAAGAGAATAACATAACTTAATGTTGAGTTGCTTGAAAGAAGAAGTGCTGTAGAAAACATCAGGAAACTTGTACACATAATAATGATGAAGTAAATTCAGGGACAAATTCTCAACGTTGTGTGACATGGCGAACTTGATCCACCTGTTGATGTATGGTATGCTCTCCATTCCGTAGTAATTTATTGTGAGGTGGAAACTCTTCGTCTTGGGAGCTGTGTAGCGATTTAGGGTTTCGTTTACCGAAGCTGCAGTCGTCAGTGTATGGACATCGAATGAGAGAGAAGGTAACTCGCACCATACATGCCTCCATCGTCTAGATAAGAGGGAAGTACTGATGGCTAATTTGATCGGAATATTAAAGCAGAGTATGTGCTGGAGGATCACATCTGGTAACTTGCTGATCAAGTCTTCAGCTCCTTCGATCTCTCTGTCGCCCACCATTTTTGTTTGCGACATACTGTATATCCTTAGGGCAACTTTATGAAACAGCTTTTGTTAATGGATTTTGTGAAAACATTAATATACTCGGCCTGTTAATGGGCTTAGGTTTCCAATCGATTTATTAATGTTATACCAAAAATTTTCATCGTCAGAGAAAATCAAACCAGATAACCAAATCTTTCATTGTGGTTTCAACTTATGCTTACGTAGAGAGTACGGGATCAGGTACGAACATAATACCTTATTATATAGAGTTGGTTACCTTATGGGGCACATTCTGAGTTTATGTTACACTCAGAGGCACTTACCACATTCTGAGTTTATACCTTTCAGCGAGCTCGAGTAGTTTGCAATATCACACGGCCTCTCTCTTTGTTATGCATCAGCGCGTGGCGTCACGCTCTCTTAGGGTTGTCTGAAACTTGACATGAACTGCTTAAAATATGGGTTTTCGCATCAGACTCGCTGTATTAAATCTGGATTGACCTTGACAACAGTCTCCTCGAACCAACTCGTCAATCTCTACTCAAGAAATGGACTACTGCAGGAAGCTCGTAAGGTGTTCGACGAAATGCCTGAGAGAAACGTTTACTCATGGAACGCTGTGATCTCGGCCTACGTAAAGTTCAACGATTTGAAAGAAGCGCTTAAACTGTTCAGAACCGTTAATTCTAGACGAGATGTGATTACGTATAACACTTTACTTGCAGGTTTTGCCAAAACTGATGGGTGTGAGAGTGAAGCCATTGAGATGTTTGCTGAGATGCAAAGGAAAGAAGAGAAAGGGATTTGGGTTGATGATTTCACTCTCACTACAATGCTCAAACTCTCTGCTAAATTAACCAACGCGTTTTACGGTGAGCAGTTGCATGGCGTTATGGTGAAAACAGGGAATGATGCAACTAAGTTTGCAGTGAGTTCTCTCATTCACATGTACTCAAAATGTGAGAAGTTTAAGGAAGTTTGTAATGTATTTAATGGGTCTTGCGTTGAGTTTATTGATGGTGTGGCTAAGAACGCGATGATTGCTGCTTATTGTAGAGAAGGTGATGTTGAAAGAGCTTTGAGTATGTTCTGGAGAAATCCAGAACTGAATAATACAGTTACTTGGAATACATTGATTTCTGGACATGCGCAGAATGGATTTGAGGAAGAAGCTTTGAAGATGGCTGTTAGTATGGAGGAGAATGGGTTGAGATGGGACGAACACACTATTGCATCTGTACTGAATGTTGTGAGTAGTTTAAAGAGCTTGAAGCTTGGGAAGGAAGTACATTGTCGGGTGGTGAAGAATGGATCATATTCTAATAAGTTTATAAGCAGTGGGATTATTGATGTTTACTGTAAGTGTGGAGATATGAAGTATGCAGAGTCTGTCTATTTGTTATATGGTTTTAGCAACTTGTATTCAACTTCTTCGATGGTTGTTGGTTACTCGTCGCAGGGAAAGATGGTGGAAGCGAGGAGGTTGTTTGATTCTTTGTCTGAGAAGAATCTAGTGGTGTGGAATGCAATGTTCTTGGGATATCTCAAATCATGTCAACCTGATTTTGTTCTTGAACTTGCACGTGAGTTTATAGCCAAGGAGAGCAAAGTTACTGATTCTTTGGTCATGGTTAGCATCCTTGGTGCATGCTCTTTACAAGCTTCAATCGAACCAGGGAAGGAGATTCACTGTCACAGCTTGAGAACGGGGTTTGTAATGGATAAGAAACTTGTGACTGCGTTTGTTGACATGTATTCAAAATGCGGGAACGTTGAGTATGCTGCAAAGGTCTTTGATAGAAGCTTTGAGAGGGATACAGTTATGTACAACGCCATGATATCTGGTTGTGCTCATCATGGCCATGACCAAAAGGCTTTCCAGCTCTTTGAAAACATGACTGAGGTTGGACTCAAGCCGGATGAAATAACATTTATAGCCCTGCTATCAGCTTGTCGTCACCGTGGCCTAGTTCTAGAGGGTGAGAAGTACTTCAAGGTGATGACAGAGGTTTACAATATATCTCCCGAGGTTGATCACTATACCTGCATGATAGATTTGTATGGAAAGACCAATAGATTAGACAAAGCCATGGAACTAATGAAAGGTATTGCTCAAGTTGAAGAAGATGCTGTTATTCTTGGAGCGTTTTTAAACGCATGTAACTTGAATAAGAATACAGAGCATGTGAAGGAAGTGGAAGAGAAATTGTTAGACATTGATGGATGTAACGGGTCTCGGTATGTTCACCTTGCTAACTCTTATGCCTTGTGTGGTAAATGGGATGAGATGAGACATATTCGGAATCGTATGAGAGGGAAGGAGCTGGGAAAATTTTATGGGTGCAGCTGGGCTTACATTGATAATCAACTTCATATGTTTAAGTCCTCTGACATTTCGCATTTGAGAAGTGAAGCTATATATTCTATGCTACATTTTGTGACCAAGGATTTGACTGAAATCACTGCTTAAGAAAGAGGTACCAATTTTCAGTACATTATTGTAGAATACTCAGAGGACCCAAGGTTCATGATCTCTGTTTTTGTGTAGTTTCACTGATTGTTGGTCATCACTGTTTTGAGCGTGAACATTCTGTTCACTGTATGTTTCCTTTCTGCAGTCACTCTTACTAATATCTTTTTTTTTCTTGTTTATTAATTTGAAGAAATCAAGAAACACCAATACAATGCAGTTAAGTAACAACAACAGAAGCAACATCATGCCAACACAGAACAACAACAACAACAGAAAGAATACAAGAACAATGGACTAATGAAGAAAAATTCAAAACACGAAGCGAAACCTTCCAAAAGGAAACATTTCCTAGCAGGTTATTGCATCAGATAATCCACACTTCTGCGGGAGTGTAGAAGCGAGGTCGAGGTCGATCCCAGTGAGAAAAGGATTGGTTTTGGTTTTCTGCTTGCAGAGACACTGGAAGTCAGCCTTAGACAGAGCAGTGCAGCAAGGCCCATTGGGATCAATCGCGGTGGTCACTGGGTTCTTAGTCTGCACATAAGGCTTGCAAGAGTACAGATCAGCAACGCTCATACCACATAACTCTCCGGTTGCTGCCGTGAGTGTCAAGGCAAGAACCAAGGTAACAAAAACAAGCTTAGTGTTTGGCTCCATTGGTTTAAGTACTTTGAGAGAGTTTTTCACCAACTGTTTTGCAACTAGTTGATGGGTTTGCTCTTCTCTTAGCTTAGGATAGGTTAGGTTACCTGCTTCAAAGGGTTTATATAGAGAGGATAAGCACGTTACTGGTGAGATTAGATCTACAAAATTGTCATAATAACATGAAAACATGGGTCCCTAGCATCATATAAGACAATAATCCTGTGATTAATTTCAGAACTAATCTGCATGTGCATATTATTAAGCGCATATGTAGGGGAATATGGAATGTCTGAGATGGTCTATACTATACATGTAATGTAATCAATATTCTTTTGTTGTCTTATGATACTTTCAATATAATATAAAGTAAGAACACCCGTGAGACATTGGCATTACTTTCTTTCCAATGTGCTAACTTGTCACGGGCGTTCTTTGGTAGCCTCAAACTTTATTGGGGACTCAAATTTAATTGCTTTCATATGCAAACAAGTAAGTACAGTTTGCAACTTCTGTTACTTGATTTATCTTGGACGTAATATATCCCAATTTGACAAATTTTAATGATAATAATCGATCTTTTATTCTGTTTTTGGTGGAACTGTAGTGGCTCTGTGAGTTATGTAGCAGTCAAAGGTGTCTTATCGTTGTCTTTTGTGTTCTTTACCTGCCAAGCTATGAACTAACATATGTGTACATGAATTTATGATGACATAAAAGATAGACTTCATCATTTATTGCAGCATGAGTTGACATTTACTAAAGTAGAAACTGAGTCGAGTCTTAAACTCAGAATATAATACTAAAAGATAAACATTAAAAGATAGGTTTATTTGTTAACTAATTTGAAAGCTTGTTTTGCAGTCTCAACAAGTGGAGCAGGACGCAGATTGAAATGAGTAGCATAGGTCAAGTAGGCACAGACCAAAGAGACATAGATCTTAAACCAGATCATCGACGAGAAGAAGGTGAGATGCGTACAGATGATCGTGAACACAATCACCGCCAAGCAGTTTATGAGGTTCTTTACTGTGCTGAACTCTTTTTCTGTTCCTTTGTTAGGGAAATGGCCACGAGAGTAGAACTCACTGAGAAGCTGGTCTTTGATCTCGAATGTGTTCATTAACCAAGCATTGATTTCTTTTTCTTGATTCGGGATTAGGTTTTGGCTGATGCGACGGATGTGGATGTGAACTTCTGATGGTTCAGTACCATAGACATTATCCAAGAAAGATGGACAACGGGTTTTGTAACCGATGGTCACATCATAAACTGCAACAAGTGCAAATAGTTGCATAAGAGTTTGGTTAAGTCACTGATGCAAAAACAGCAAAAGTATAAACAAACCTGCATCAAGTGAGCCATTCAACTCCTCCAAGCAGGAGACGAACCCTTTTGTCTTGGGAAGCAAGACATTGTTAAGTATTGGTAAGCCATTCTCAACTGCAAACTTCTTGCTCCTTTCGCATTTAGCCTCTCTGCATGGTGAAATGCTTTAAACCAAAAGGGTTTCTGAACAAGCAAAGAAGAGGGGACTTACGTGTAATCTGTGCCTTCAGGGAAAAGACCAAGCCACAAAGCATCTCGAGGATCCTTAAAACTGGAAACCATCTGCCTCAAGTTTGCTTCATCTACTTTCCATCTCCGCTCAACGGGGATAAACTCAAAGAGGTGAAAGGCCCAACCAAAGAGAGGTAACTTCATCAAACTGCTCTTAAGCACATACTTCATGTTCCCAATCTGTCCTTTACGCAGTGCAAGATCCCAGAAGTACATCCAATCAACCTCTGTTCGGTGATTCGCAATGAGCAACACACGTTCCTCGCAAGGAACCTTATCCCCAGAGAAGATAACGTTGGTTCTGTTTATCTTCTCAAAGAGGAAAGGCCACAAGGCGAGCCAGGAGCCAAAGAAGAAAGAAACACATTTACGGCTGTAGTGTAAGCTGAAAAGCCTCACCACTACAGCTGATAAGAACCCCCAGAAAATCAACATCATAAAAGCTGTTGAAACCAACACCATCAGACATGTTATACCTCTTAACATTCTTATCAGTGACATCTTATTAGAGTTTGGTATGTTTTCTTCACTCTTTTTAACTTTCTTTTCCATTTTGTGACACCTTATAAAGATAAATCTATATACTTCTTCTGTTGTGTATGTTCTCGATTCAAATAAATAGTAGATTTCACCAATCTGGCGTTACCATAGTCACCATTAGAGCTCATATGGTGATAACATCATAGCAGAGTTCTTAGCACTGAACATACTCCACCTGCAGTTATATGATCAAAGACTTTAGGAACATTTTTTTTTATAAAGAACTTGACATAACACAATATATTAATCAAAAGATAAAAGAAAATTATGGAAAAAATGTCTTTAATTTTTCTTATTTAATTACTTAACACTATTAAGGGTTGAGAGATTAATTAAAAGATTAAAAAAAATAAAACAAGAATCTAAGGATCTGACTTATCGCTGAATTTAAAATAAAAGAAAGAAGCTTTATTTTCAGAAGCATCTAGTACACTGTAAAAAAAAAAAAAAAGAACTTCCGACCATGATAGCTAAAATCTCTGAAAGGAATTAAAAGATAAAATCAGACAAGAGAACATTACAAACTTACAAAAAAAAAGATCAGAATACAATGCAAGTTGTAAAATCCACCTATCAGATTTTTATTTACTTTGTGAAAGTTTGATGAAAACGAGATAGTAGAAGAAGACAGCTTACCATGGACATGAAGCTTGGGGGTTTTATAAAGATGAATTTAATGGCAGAGAGAAAAGATCAGCAAAGGAGTCAAGAGACTACGACCGGTTGTGAAAAAGGGCTCAGAGGTTGTTGTTAATTACGGTTTATACCACCCACTCTTGTAGAAAGAACCCAACAACGGAAGGTGCGGAAATTTAAACTACTGTCCGCTCCTCTTTCGCTAATATTGGATTCTACCACGTCACCATCCTTGTTTGTTCCATCCTCTTTTTATATTTTAAACAAATTCAGAAGAAAATAAACTAAAGCTCATAAGCAATTCTTCTTACTTTTCTATCTAGTGATAATCAATATTATTATCTGGAAAACAAATTTGTTTAATTGTTATGTTTTTCATAATTTAAGTAGTTTGGTTTTTTTTTTTTGACATCAAGTAGTTTGGTTTATTTGTCATGTTTTTATGATTTTGAATAATTATTAATTATTAATTTTAATGAATAACTAGATTTATTAATATATAATTAACTATAAATTAAAAAAATTAAAAAAAAAATAATAATAAGAAACTTTAATTAAAAACAAATATCATGGATTGGATAATTATCATTATCTAAAAATAATTTATATTAATTAACCATAAACTAAAAGAAAATTAATCTATAATTTTCCATTAATTTAAAATGAATTATTTTGATTTGATAATTATCATTATCTAGCAATAATTTCTATTATACTATCTCCAATGTATTCTCATATTTTTTTTTCTCTAAAATAGGAAAACTTTATAATAGAGATGGATTTGTCTCCAATATATTCTTCTATCTCTTCCGCTAAAAGAAATATTCCTAAGATATTCTTTTAATTTTATAAATAATACCTTTCGTTTGTTAAAGTTGAAAAACAATCCAATTTATTTTAAATTTCAAAATTTATGATATCATACACTTACGACTTCTTTACAAACTGTTATGTAAATAAAAATATGATTATATTTATATAAACAATATATTTCAAGAAACAATATTTATTTTTGGTTATAACTGTTAGAATTAAAAGTTAAAGGACCATTTTCTGAATGAAAAAATATACCTTGATTATAGAGGAATACTCTTTTTAGCAATCTTTATTTTAGAGGAAAAACTAGAATAGGGGAATGTCAAAGATGCTCTTATGTTATAAAATCTTTACTAAGAGTTAATGAAATATTATATTTATTAATATATAATATAATTAACCATAAAGTTAAAAACAAATTTCCTTGATTTGATAATCATCCTTCCATAATAATAATCTTTGTTGGTTATTCAAAAAAATATTTTATAAAGATTTTTATATTTTTAAATTATAAAATATAAATCCAAATATCTATTGTATATAATATTAATGTTTTTAGATTTATTTTACGCAATAAAATATAATTTTATTATATTGACAAATTTTGACATATGTAAAAAATAATATTTTATTTATTATTAAATATTTCAAAAGTATTAGTGTTTTTAAGTTTATGATACATGATAAAAAATATTTATGTTACGATAAAAACATGTATATAGAAAGATTTTATTATTTTTTGTTCAAAAAAAAAAGTTTACTATTTAATTTTTATTAAATATTTTGAATGTACGAACATTGCCTTATTTTAATTTTATGTATTTACTTTAAAGTATTTAAAGCTTGTATATATAAAGAGTTTATTGTATAATTTTATTAAATATATTGAATATACGAACATTAATTTATTTTTAATTTAATTTCAACTGATAATATATTTGTTTTGAAATATTTATAAAACTATTATGTTTGCATGTGCGGGCAAAACGCCTAGTATCAATTTATTTACTAAAATTTACCAATTAAGTGCAGACGATGAACCTTTATTTTCTAATCGAACTAAGTATTGTCGATTAGTTGGAAGGTTAGTATCTTTCGATCTCCGCAAACGAAGCTATGGTATTCCCTTCATATTCTACTTCAGTTTATGAAAGCTCCTTATTGTCCGCATTGTCCGTTTTCTTGAAGGATAACTAGGACAATGTATTCTTTTATGCGCAACTGATAACTTGGAGCTCTCTGTATATTGTATTGCTGATAAGTCCTCATGCCCCCTATCACCCATCAAGGTAAGATTGTTTGTAGTTATGCTTAGTGGATTTTCAAAAAAAAATTGAAAAATAAGAAGCAATACATAATATCTCACTATTTCGCAAAATCTGAATATCGAGTTATGACTATAGTTATTCGTGAGATCAAGTAGATTCTACATTTTCTCAAAGAATTTGGTATTTCTATTAGTACACTTGTCACATTCTATTGTGATAGTCAAACTGCAATTCATATTGATTTGAATCTGGTTTGTTCATAAAGAACTAAACACATTAAACTTGAGTGTCATCATGTTTGTGATGGAAGTCATGATGGTCTTATCTCAATGCATCATATCAGAAGCAAGGATGATCAACTTACAAACATTCTTATCAAAATAATTAAATCGAAATGTCTTATGGTCCAAATTAGGTGTTCAGAATTTTCACTCTCCAACTCTGGATCTGATCCAAATTTTAAGGTACATAACCGAATCGAATCTGGTTCGAACAGTACATGATTTCTCCGAAGAACTGGATTTGAACCAGAACCCCAAAAAGTTACGAGTATTTGAAAATATTTAAAATATAAATATATATCTAGAAATGTAGTTGTATTAATATTTATAATAATTTAAATATTTTAGTTATTTTTGATAATTCAGATATTTTTAAATATTTTTGGTTACTTTTGGATATTATTGGACATGGTTGGATATAAAAATCAGATCTAAAATCAGATCATTCGGATAATATCGATTATTTTTTATACATTTGGATTATAACAAGTAAATCCGAATCAGAACAAAAAAAAAAAGTCAGTTCATTCGAGTATACCCAAAAATATCTGAATCTGACAAGTACTGAACCAAATCCAATTTGATATTTAAAATTATCTGATTAATACCAATTTTCCCATATCTGAATTGTCCGATCCAAACCCTAATGTCTATGCCTAATAAAAATACAATTCATATTGGGAAATTGCACGTAATATACAGCAAACAAATTATACTTAGTTCTCTAACTAAAAAAAGGTTGACAACAATATTCAACATATTTTCTATCATATATGCCAAAATATCATTGCAATCTATCGTATGACCTCTTTCTATTTATTCTTTATTTTATTTTATTTTATCTTCATCTTCTTCTTACAGATCTCTGTTTTTTTAATATCAACAACGAAAACATAAATCATGATTACTCCACTTCACTTATTTCCACTTATATAGTTGGTTATTAGCGCTGTTAACTGATACACCACCATCGATGTTCTTATGTTTTCTATCTTCCACTGAAATAAAACACCAACTACGCAAACCCAGAATTGTTGTCTCTTTTGAACTATCTTTTCTTTCTTTTTATGTTAATAATACTTTTAAGTTTTCAAGTCTATTATATTTTTTATAGTTATATAATATAATTTACTATTTTCAGATATTAGTTTAATTATATTTTAAATTTGTATTTAGTGATTATGGATTAGGATTTAATGATTAGAGTTTTAGGGTTTCGTATTTAAAAGGTGAGGGTGGAATTAGACTAAGGGTTTTAATAAGGTTTAGCTTTAAATTTTTGTATTCTATACTATTATATGCATATAGTATAGAAATATATATATATATATATATAGAGTTTAATATTACATAATATTGTGTAATTTTTAGATGTTGGTATATAGGTTGAGGGTTTATATTTGGGTTTTGGATGTATAATTGGGTTTAGAGTTTAGTGATTAGGATTTTATAATTGGGAAATTAGACTGTATAGCTACAAAATAAACAATAATTAAGTATCTAACCAAAACAAAGTACCTCTATTATTTTTATAATTTATACTATATTACCCCTAGTCTCCAGTTAACGAAAATAAAAAAATATATTTTTTTCCTATTACCAACTACCACCATTTTTCCTCTGATCTCACCACTTTACTTCCATTACCATTACAATACGATCAACACCAATTTCATAGCCAGTATAACCACCTCCATATCTATAATCTCTGGTACATATGTCGTATTTGCTTCTGAAATCTACAGACTACGATGGTGTTATGGTTGAGACGTCTTCGTTGTCATGTAAAGTTCCAGGTATACTATGTTATTTGAATAATGTATACTATACTATTTCGTTTGTTACTATTCTATTGTTATAATTCATATTATGTACTGTGTGCATATTTTGATATTTGGTTAGGGTTTATAGTTATTTTTAGTGTTTAGTGATTAGTGTTTCGGGTTTAGTTTATGAAAGATTTGTATTGATTTTGGAGTAACATTTCCTCTTTCTCTGCAATCATATACAT